TATATATATATATATATATATATATATATATATATATATATATATATATATATATATATAGTATTTTGTATGTTAATTGTTAAGTCGTATAATGTGTTCTTATGACTGGTATGGAATGATGACAGATTGGCGACATGCTAAAATCTTGTATGTGATAATGGATCAGTGATAGGCAGTAAGTTTAAATGTGATGAAAGGAGGGTGATAGGTTGTGAGTCTAGTGAAATGATGAAACATAGTGATCCATCAGGTGGTTTTTGAGATGTTTGATAAATTCTTTTATAAAATTTTATAAAAATGGGTTTTGAGATGATTTATTTATATTTCAAAAAATGGTTTAAATTTGGGATGTTACATTATAATTTTGATTAAATAAGGTAACCATCAGTTTAGATGGATCATGATAGATTTTTTTGGGTACGAAAAAAAGGATTTGGTTTGATATTAATCCTACTTTTAGATTTGGTTTGCGTTAGGTGTGATGATTAAGGTGAGGGTAATGAGGGGATAATATGGTAAGGAGATGAGTAGGTTAAGGATGGAGGACATTTTAGGGTTAGAAGAGGCGTAGGATTATAAAGAGCAGTGAAGTGAACCGAGATTAGGTTATTCGAACTGAGAAGATGAAGGTAGGTGGGCTGGCAAGTAGTCAAAGGTGGTGGATTATTCACACTAGACTATATGAGGGGAATAGGGTTGGATCAGGGATGTTAGGTTTGGTAAGGTTGGGGTTAAAGATTGTGCTACATGTTGGTGATGTTTTATATACGGTGATGGTTTAGTTTCATCAAGGAAGTCATATTAGGTGGGTTGGTATTTAGGAAAGTTTCAGAAGGAAAAAATTGTTCTTAGAACATTACAAGATGATATACGATTGGAGTGAATTTGAGAAATGTATGTGAAGATGAATAACGTGTTTGCTTGAGTACCCAAGGAATAAACATGTTTAGGGGTAGATCTAGGGGTTCCAGAGGAGGTTCGTGCAACCCCTCAAATATTGCAGAGTAATGTAAATGATTTGCAATTTTCCAACATAATGTAAAGTTTCCGACATGCTACCTCAAAAATCATGGGTGCTACCCCTAAGATTTTGTCCCACGTCCACCACTGCACATGGTGTTTCACAAGGTGCAAGATTATAAGGTATATTGGATAACATATTTGAATAAAACAAGCACCCAAGACGTGTATATGCAGGTTTGCAAAGGTATACGATTGTAGTAGGATTATTATTTGTGATTGTATGTGATGTTAGTATGTTAAGGAGGTAGGTAAAAGTGTGAACAAAATAATTCTATAATGATAATTGTATAGAGGTGTGTGTGTGTGAGATTAGTGTGTATCATATTGCTTATATTTCAAATAATATGTTCGTCTTTTCCATTTTAGGATGAGGTGTAAGGACATGTGAAATGGAGACGCACACAATATGTGTAATGACAGCGTTTCCCGCTAGGGATTAATAAGATGATGTAACAGTTAGGGTCGACAATTGTAACCTATTTTAAAGTAATAAAGAATAATTATTTGAGTATTACATGATTTATATGTAATTATATGAAATATATGTTCTTATATTGATATAATAAAATAGGAATAAATACGGATCTAAAATAGGATAAAAATTAGTTCGAATATCCGATAGTTGAAGTAGTTGTGACAAGGATTATGGAGATATAAAAAACGGTCCAATCCAACAAATGAAGAAGAAGTTATGAGCATTTGAAGTGTCACACCCCCGACCGAGGTGGCGGGACCGGGTTGTGCAACCAAGTTCATGAATCACAGTAAACTAAATATATAGAACAAATAAAACAATAAACAAAATAGCATTCGTTTTCCATCTTGTCTTTTGAATACAAAGTTCTTATAGATAATAATAGTACATAAACTGCCTTAATATATAGGTAGATAATACAACAAATTGTAAACTAGGTGGCTTGTAATCCATTCCGTCTTGAAGGTTTTTTTAGTGATTTCCTGAGAATACATGTAGTTTTGAGGGTCAACATAAGGTTGGTGCGAGTAACAGGTTTCTACTAACAATCGTAATACTTTTAAAAAGTCTAAAAAGTATTTTCTTTTTAAGTAGAACAATACTTAAAACTATGTTTGGAAAGAGTATTTGAAAGCCAAAATGTATCTTTTTATAAGTAAATCCATACTTAAAACTGTGTTTCTGAAGAATCCTTGAATATACTTGAAAACCAAAATGTACTATTACAAAAGTAAATCCATACTAAAAATAGTTTTGAAGGAAACCAAGTCCATGTTTTCTAGTAAAAGAGAGACCATAAGTAAATCCATACTTAAAATGGTTTTGAAAGCAACCAAGCTCATAGTTTGTAGCGAGAGAGAAAGATTCTAGTTAGTGTTTATAATTAGTCTTATAACCGAGCTATATGACTGAATGTACCCCTACAACGCTTCATTGGATGTTGTAGTAACAATTAAGGCACTTATCACCCGTTTTGATTGATCAGTCGAGGTTGTAGCTAGCAACCACATGTGGGGATGTCAACCCCGTATAGATCTATACATATGTATCTCTCTTAGAAGGTTAACGATTATAGTAGTGTGGGTATGCTAAGTGTTTAGACTTAGCTAATGAATATAGTCTCATTAAAAAGCCCTTAACTAAAGTATGTGAATAGCTCTCAGCCCTAAGTTATTTGTGGATAAGTCACTAGGCATAATAAATTTCATTGTATAAAGTTTATAAAAGTCGAGTATATCTAGTATGTATGTATAGCGTAAGGAAGTTACTTTCATAAAAAGGTACGTCTCAAAGTATGTACATGTGCACAGAAATAGTTTGAATCCTTGAAATACTACAAAGTTTTACGATGCGCTTTTTATGACATACAATATCATATAAAATCGTATATTTTTGTATGATATAACATTGGATGTGTGGACTAGTTATTTCACGACAAAATAGCTATAATATGTATATGTAAAGTTTATACTAGTTTATTTGTAACAATATGTTACATTGCCAAATAACATTTTTATAAACTAGACTTGTTGTATTTTCATGTAAGATGACAATTTGTTTGCATAAACAAAGTATATAGGCATATGTGTTCCCCTCCACCCCCCCTTTCTTAAATATATATATATATATATATATATATATATATATATATATATATATATATATATATATATATATATTAAAAAGGGGCCGTAAGCACTTACCCTTGAAACATGAATTCGATTTGTACGAAATCAGATTATTTTGAGAAGCTAGACGTGAGAAACCATAAAGCCACGATTCTTGAACTTTGAAATACTTTTTACGACCGTTTTGTAACGAATTTACACTATAAGGGGTTTTTTTGTAACTTCACTAAACTATAGGGGTTGTTTGGTAATTTAACTAACTAAAGTAGGACTGCTTTGGTTGAAATAAATCATGGAAATGACTGATTTTGTAGTAATTTAAACAAGGGAGGGACTGAAATGGTTTATGAGGAATTAAAATTTGAGACTCGGACTTATTTTGTTAAAAATTTCCAATAAATGGGCTGGCATGCTTAATTTAAATCAAAGTTTGGAGGTTGGGATTTATTTTGAATTAATGGGTCCACAAGGGAGTTAGTTTGGTCATTTTATAAAAATAAAAAGGATTTAGGGCTTTTTTTTTTGCCCTCGTCATTTGTTGAGGGATAATGAAGGAACGAACGAAAGCGGATAGAACATACAAACGGACGATTGTAGTCAAGAATGAATGCACGAAGGCTCGCAGGCAGTTAGGAAATCCGGTTTTTTGTCGATGGATCGCAAGAAGGGAGCGTCTCCGGGGGTCGACGAGACCGAAGAAAGGAAGGGAAGAAGCAGTGAGGCTGCTCTCTACCTGCTCCGATAATGAGGTGCGAAGGGGGAAGGGGAGAACCGGTCTGCTCGGAGAGATGCGAGCAGCAACAGTAGCCCAGGCGAGGCTTCGTCGGCAGGTACTGAATAGGAGAAGAAGAGAAGGTGCGAGGGGTGAGGCCAGAAGAGGGGGTCCGATGGGAGGAAAACGAACAACAGTAGCAACTCAAGTACGGGGTGTTTACACGGGAAGGAAGGGAAGGTGCGACCGGGGCTGCTCCGACGGCCTCCGATTTAATTTTTGACACAACGATTCGTGTAATTACTCTAAAGAAATTAGGTTAAAGAAAAAAAAAATCAGTCTCAAATCGAAAACTTACGCTTCTGGGATATTCCCTAAGGTGCCGCCTCATATTTGATTTGTTGCCACCTCACCTCAAGTCCAGCCTTGAATCGCACGCCTGGCGATTTTTAAGTTCGACAGCCTCTATCACAAACAACTTTTGTGCATTTTAAAAGATTTTAATAATAAATTTATGGAGACTTGATGGGGATGAGTTGAAGATCATTTTTTTTAGAAGAACATATTATCTTTTTATTTTAGTTTATTAAAAAACATGAAAATATCATTCGACTTTCAAGATCACCCATTTTTATATTTTAATTCTCATGATTATTGTTTTTTTATATATATATTTTAATAAATTTATGGAGATTCCCCGTACTCAACGGGATTGTACACAAAACTTGTTAGGAATTACATGGGGGTGGGGGCGGGGACGGATGTTAGGATTGAAGTTGAGGAGTTAGAACCAATATTGGGGTCCGTGGCAATATCCACCCTCGTTTGAATCACTAACCCAAGTAACAACAATAAAGCTGCAAGTACAAAAGAAGGCACAAGTACGAATGTACATGTTATCATTACAATATATGAAAATTCTTTTATTCTTTTGCCTTCTAAATCAAATTTACCCACTTCCAATACCTTATTATATGAAAAGCACAAACACATTAAATGAGCTATGAGTTATACTACTCACTTACCCTTATTTTAATTCTACACTACTCCTTCCTGTTTGAGTGCTTGTCCTTAGAAGTGTTTCTTGAATATACAATTATACATCCTTCAACAAGCTCTTTAAATCAAAGTTTATTTACAAATACAATTAATCTTAAAAAACCTACACCAAAAACATGGTACCCAAGCGTTGTGGATCCATTTGAATCATCATAAGAGTAGAAACAATCTCGTTCATACATAATCTTCTCGATGCTTCACTTTCCAAACAACCAATACTCAGTTTCACCAAACGCAGTGCAAGTTCATCTTGATCTATAACAAACCCGAGTGCATGTCTAACTTTCAAACGAGGGTCAATAATGTAATTAACCATACTTTTCGCATTATTTCCATCACCCATAATCGGTACAACTTCTTCACACAACATCACTTGTCCCCCATCATCATCATTCTCATACACAGCTTTTTTCCCGTTATCAATTCTAACAAAACAACTCCAAATGTAAACACATCGGTCTTCATTGTCACAAATCCTGCCTCTAAATACTCCGGTGCGAGGTACCCCTTTGACTCAGAACGACATTTTATGGATGAATTTACGTTCTCGCCCTTCTCTGTTGACTTTGTAAGACCAAATTTTGAAATCTTGGCGCGTAGATCCTTAGTTAATAGAATATTGCTACTGTTTATATCTTTATGAACGTATGTTGGATTCGCAAAATTATGTAGATATTGAAGACCTTTAGCAACATCTAAAGCAATACGAATACGATTATTCCATGTTTGACTTTCTTGACAAGTCAAATCTCGAAGCCAATCGTTTAATGAACCGTTTTCCATGAATTTCGTAAACAAGATAACAAGACTTATCGTGTTCACAATCTCCATAAAGACCAATAAGATTAAAATGATTAATTTTTTGGAGAATTTTCACCTCTTTATTCGCGTTGTCCCTGTTTGTTTAATCGCGACTTTTCTACCCTTTATACTTCCTTTATAAACCGAAGCACTTAATCTCTTTTCGAGGGTAAATCCATCCGTGGCCTCCTCTAATTCTTCAAATTTGTAGACTTTGAGAACTTGATCAACACTAAAAATACCAAGTTGGATATCTTTAGGCAACTCCAATTTTACGATTTTACCCTTATTTGCTCTTTTCCTTTTAGATACTAAACATATCACAAAAACACCACAAAGAATCGCCAAGAAACCACCTGATATCGTCCCGATCATGATTCCTTTCTTCGACAGCTTCAGATTCTGATTCCGATTCCGATTCCGATAGAACGTTCTTGTTTGAGTACTTAAAGGTTCAGTAGATAGAGGAACAAGAAGGTTAGTAAACGGAGAAATCAAATCTTTAACAGAACAAAACCGGTTTTCCAAAACTAAATCTTGAAATTTCACATCAAACTGTTTACTAATTTTCTTGATTGAATCTTCCCAAGTAATCGAGTAAGTCAAAAGAAACCTGATTCTGGACATGGTTTGACTATTCGTAGGACAAGCACATCTAAGTGGAACACGAATCTTGCCACCAACTTGTAAATCATTTTCTTTATAAATATTGTTCTTTTGGAGGGAATCACATGTGGTTAAACCTTGGAATGTGAAATTTGCGATAGTGAAATCGTTGGTGTTAATCGGAATAACAAAAGATGTGTTAGCTCGATAGTACTTACCAGAACAAGAACATGTAACCGGAATAATTAGCTCTTTGTTTAGTGGCAAGATTCCGGCGGAATCAGTGATTCCGTTGATTCGGGCGACATCCGTAGGGTCCGTTGACATAAGCTTGGAAATGGTGAAAATTGTGTTGTAAAGAGGTTGAGTTTTGAAGATTAAGAAGGTGGAACACGATTGGATTCCGTTGCAAGTGTAGAGGAATTCCGGGGTTCGTTCTGATTTGTTGGAATTGTTACATTCCAGAATGTGGTTTCCGGAATACGTTTGTTGAGAAACCGATTCGTGAGTGAAAAATAGGAACGGAAATAGGAATAGGAATGGATTCATGGTTGATCGGAAAGTGGCGTTGGAATTGGAACACTTTGTGAAATGATTGATGTTTTAGAGGATGATGATATTATTTGTAGAAATAGTTGTTAAACCAAAAAGGGGTGAAAAGGACTTTGAAGATACATTAATTTAGATTTTAGAGTCCAGAATTTTCCAGCTTACAAAGTTTTTGAAGTCAAATCTTTTACTTTATTCTGTTTTTAGTTGATACTTGAACCGTGACCGGTCTGAATTTTAGAGAACAGGTCAAACCGGGCTTTTAGAAAATTGGACCGGTTGTTAGACAAATAAAAAACTGAACCATTTGTAACTGGGCCCAATAAACTAAACCTGAACCATATAGCCGGGTGTAATATGAACCGACTTTTACCAAAAAAAAAAAGTATGAACATAATTCATAAAGTAATTATATAAACAAGGTAATGAGTTATTACATGATCATATTTGGTAAGACGTCAAAACAAATAATATTTTTTTTACCAAATACTTCTTTTTAGTTGTCTCAAATACTTCTCCAAAAATTTAATCATTTCAATCTTATTGGTCTTTATGGAGTTTGTGAACATGATAAAGCTAGTTACCTTGTTTGTGAGCTCATGGAAAATGGTTCTTTAAACAAATGGCTTCAAGATTTGAATTGTCAAGAAAGTCAAACATGGAATAATCGTATTCGTATTGGTTTAGATGTTGATAAAGGTCTTCAATATCTACATAATTTTGCGAATCCAGCTTATGTTCATAAAGATATAAACAGTAGTAATATACTACTTACTAAAGATCTACGTGCCAAGATTTCTAAATTTGGTCTTGCAAAATCAACGGAGAAGGGCGAAAATGTAAATTCATCCATAAAATGTAGGTTTGAGTCAAAGGGTTACCTTGCACCGGAGTATTTAGAGGCGGGATTTGTGACAACCAAGACTGATGTCTATGCTTTTGGAGTTGTTCTTTTGGAATTGATAACCGGAAAGAAAGTTGTGTATGAAAATGATGATGATGGAGAAGAAGTGATGTTGTCTGAAGAAGTTGCTTCGATCATGGGTGATGAAAAAAATGGGAAAGGAAAGGTTAATTACCTTATTGACCCTCGGTTGCAAGCTAGACATGCCCTTGGGTTTGTTATAGATCAAGATGAACTTTCATTGCGTATGGTGAAACTAAGCTTGGGTTGTTTGGAATCGGAACCATCAAGAAGATTAAGTATAAATGAGATTGTTTCCACTCTTATGATGATTCAAATGGATGCACAAAGCTCAGAAACCATATTTATGGTGTAGAGTTTTAAGATTGATTCATTAGTTGTATCTATTGAGCCTTTGGGAATAACAAATTGTATTTAATAGTCAAAATTATGATGTAAAAAACTTGTTGAATTGTGTGTATTCAAGAAACAACATCGACAATCAAATAAAAGAAAGTGCTTAAAGAAAGTGCTTGCGTCATGTAATTATACAATTAACTAACCATTTTAAGAAAAGAAATTACCATCAAAAGATGCTTAATAGCTACGAGTCATACGGCTAAAGTTGAAATTGTATATACTCAATTTAAAGTACAACAAACTTACATGCGAAAATTATAGGAAAAACGATACCATAGCGGAACAAACTTTTTGCTTTGTCCCAGATTGATCATTAATGTTTTTTTTCACAATAAACCCTTAATGTATTATTTTACCTGTTAAATAAGTTAATTAACCAATTTTATTCCAGTTTCCACGTTGCATTTAGTCTAGGTATCATTTTTGTATTTTTTTTTCCAAACTGGAAAATTAAACTAATAAAAACGTGGCATTTTCTTTCATTTTTTTAATAAAAATCCCCTGTTAGCGATCTGCTTCTCCATTCTGAGTACTAACCCTAGTCGGTAACTCGTTTACCAACAATCATCGATGCCTTTCTTTTAAACCTTCTCTGGCAACTTGTTCACGAACCATCTCCAGCGCCTTTCATCGCAACCATCTATAGCATGTTTGTGCTTGCTTATAGTCTTGTGCTCACCACTATATCTCTCTCGCTTCATTTAAATGAAGTTCTCCCTTCCATCAACCCAAATTCATGAGAGGGAAGGGGAACCAGTGTTGTTGGATTTGGTCCCAGAAAGAAAAGGGAGGCGGTTGGGGAATAACTTTTGCTCGTAACTACAAACGATGTATTTCATAGCTTAAAAAAAGATATGAAATTAAAGTGTGTGAAGTGCATTCACAAACCAGATTCCTCGAGTATTGAAGATCACAGTAGTTATATAAAGTGAAGTGTGAGAATTTCGAGAATCCTGGTGTTTGGTACCGTAGATCTTCCTCTTGACTCCATGGATTCCAACGAACCCTCTAGTATTCAATTAATCTAATGTTCTTTAGCTCAATTTTTTGAAGTTCTAAACTTCATCTCTTTCTTCATCTTTTGTTAGATTTGGTGTTTATTTTGGTGTGTTCATCTGATGTACTATTTCTTCTGGATTTTTTTTGAAGCTCTAAACATCATCTATATCTTCATCTTTTTCTGGATTTTGTGAGTTCATGATGGGTCTTTGAAAGAATTTCCCTTTTAATCTATCATATTACAAAAGTTGTTGATTTTTATTATTTCGCTTTCATGTTATCTTTAGTATGTAAGGTCCATATATAGGTGATAGAGGTTGAAACTAGATAAGGAAAAGAGAATTTATGAAGGGAGGCACCAAAAGAGACTTGGAATCCAGATAACTTTAGATGGGAAGGCGAATGCATAATCTTCTACCCTGAAAGCAACAACTCTCCCTGTTGATCCAGAGCTTAAAGCCAATTGGCATAGAACTGTTGCTTATGGATGGTTCTCTAGTAATTTGTTTTTGTATTCGATTCATCTAATGTTCTTTTTCTATATTTTGATTGAAGCTTTAAACTTCATCTCTTTCTTCATTTGCATTTTGGATTTAGTATTTATTAGGGTGTATTCATGATGAGTTGGAGGAATATGAATGGTGGTAGTGTTCGGAGGTGGATAGTGGGTGGGGTGTAAGAAGGTGGTGGGAGGTGGAAGATGGTGGTGTTGGTGATGGGAGGTGGATGGTGGCAGTGGTGGGAATTGGTTTACGGGAAGATGGAACGTGCTTTCATTAAAATGGAATATGATTTAATAAGAATAATAATTGAAAAAGAATTGAAAAATATAAAAAAAATCCATATAGAGGCCATGTCAGTGCCACATAGGCAAGTGTTGGTGACTCAAATGTAACATGACACAGCTCGTAACCTTAGTAACCGGAGACCCCTTCATTTTTTCATAATGTGTAATTGACAGGTAATTTGAAAGTTGAGGGACTAATTACGCAAAAAAAAAAACACTTGAGTGACCAATCCGGGACAAAGCCAAAACTTTATTGTGCTACAGTGTCAGTTTCCCAAAATTATATGCCACATGGAAGTGTGGAACTAAAATTGGAATGGAGTTCCTAAAAATTGCATAAAAGATGTATGAAAAATGATATTTTTCATATAGGTTGTCATCTAATATGACAGGAAAGAGTTGAAACATTGAATAAAGGATGGCCATAAAAACCCAAATATGTGGATTCAAATTCATTTAAAGAAGACTTAAAGTCATGCGCTTTATGGGACTTACACATTAGTTGGTGAGCACTCCCACTTAAATTTTTTAAGAGTAAGAAACTCTAGCAAGAGAAAGTAGTCTCCATTAAAGGGTTGATGGTTAGATTTCTGCACTTTTTCAACACAAAATTTGATCTTTAAGACCCATAAAACACATGTTATTTGTGTTTTTTATATACCATAGGACTTGAACCCTCAACCACTTGAGGAGGGACACATTTCCAACACACGTGATATTGTTAGGTCAAAGGTCTTTTAGTACATATGTCGTTTGTTGATTTCAGGTCATCTGGACTTGTTGGGAAAATGGCCTCAAGATTCCAAAATTACACCTATATGATTAGATATTACAATCAAATAGATTAATCTATCAAGACTACTCCAAATTCCTCTTATACTCTTCACAATATAGAGCAATACTTTTGTACCTTATAAAATAAAAGAAGAAAAAGAAAATCAAACACTTCAAGTGTATGAGATTGGGTTGTAATGAAACCAAAACATTGGTCTACTTTTATAGTCTTGAGTACCAACCAACCTTATTTCCTTCCTTGAACCAACATGGAATGTAACACAATTCATTTATTAGCCAAAATCTCAACAATTTGTACATCGGATAATTAAATGAAATAAAAGTGCAACCACATAAAAAAGGAATAGTATCTTTAGTTTGAAATTATAATTCTAAAGTAATATAATTATCATGCTCTACCATAAAAAAATATCGCCGCTAAAAGATATCATCCTAAGAATTACACTATGGCACATATTGGATATTTTGTTGAAAACTTATGGTACGACTTCCTTTTCAAGACCTAGAACGTAATCTTCGAGGTGCAGCGCCCACACCTTATAATCCTGTAGAAAAAAATTGGGATTTTGGTAGTAGAACTATGCTGCTGGACAAATTGAAGGAAAGATTATGAGGATCTTCTGGTTGCATGATGTTGATTCACAAAAACCTGGTTAGAATCATATGTGTAAAACAATATTCGAGTTTAGGGCAAAACAAGGACCCAGATCTAACGTCTACAATCAATGAAGACGATGAAGACGACTAGAACATATCCACAAAAAATGTAAAACCCTAATAATACTTGACAGAAGAATTGCGTATGAGTTACACAATCTCACAGTATGATACCAATTGCATAAACAATAACTTTATGATCGCTAGATTCCAAACAGAATATTGGATCAAATGGTAAGAAAAATCATTGAATGTGTGTTGAATGCTTTATAATCAATTCCTTAGAAGAGTTCAACGAGAACTGTTCTGTAAAGAGAATGTAAGGCAATGCAAAACCATTAACCCTAGAATAATACGTACATGCACTATATATAGTCTAACCCTAGCATCATAAAGACGGATGGACAGGCCAATCCGTTAATAATAAAGACTAAATACATACAAAGTAAATTCGACACAACACATTAAATGACCCAACATTAACAATTAGCGCCAACAAAGATGAAAAGCTAATGATGCAACTTCAAGAGTTGTTGGACAATGTTTTCATTAGACCTAGTTCATCACCCTGGGGAGCTTCAGTGTTGTTTATGAAGAACAAGAATGAGAGCATGAGAATGTGCATAGATTATAGAGATGAACAAGGAAACACTAAAGGCCAAGTACCCATTTCCAAGGACTGATGACCTGTTCAATCATTTGCAGGGTGCGAGCTATTTCTTGAACATCGATCGTAGGTTAGGATTCATCGGCTGAAGGTGAGAGAGCGGAATATAGAAAAGATTGCATTCAGAAAAAGATATGGATACTCTGAGTTTTTAGTTATGTCGTTCAGACTAACCAAATCTCCAACAACACTTATGGATTTAATGAATAGGGTTTGTAAACCTTTCCTAGATAAATCTATAATAGTGTTCATAGATGAAGTTCTCATATATTCAAAGAGTCAGAAGGAGCACAGAAAGCACTTAAGAGAAAAGTTATAAGTTCTAAAAAAGGAGAAGTTGTACGCAAAGTTCTCCAAGTGTAATTTTTGGATTTGGGAAGTCCAATTCTTAGGTCATGTGGTTAACCAAGAGGGAATAATGGTTGACCTAACAAAAATCGAAGCTATGATGAAGTCAGAATGACCAAAAAGTACGATCAAGATTTGAAGTTTTCTAGGATTAGCTAGATATTACAGAAGGTTTATCTAAGGCTATTCTTCAATAGTTTCTCCATTAACAGCTTTGAATCATAAACGAGCTACATATACATGGAATGAGAAGCACGAAGAAGCCTTTGAGAAGTTAAAGAAGAAATTATGTGAAATACTGATTGATTCATTACCTGGCAGAGTTGAAGACTTTGCAATATATAGCGATGCATTTGGGGTTAGGTTAGGTTGTGTTCTGACTCAGATAGATAAAGTGATAACATATGCATCTCGAAAACTGAAGAGCACGAGAAGAACTACCTCACTCATGATATGGAGTTTGCCGTGGTAGTTTTTGCACTAAAGATATGGAGGCGTTATATTTATGGCACAAAGTATCCAGTATCTCTCCAATCAAAAGGAATTGAATATGAGATAATGACGCTGGCTTGAGTTACTCAAGGATTATGACTGCGAGATCTTTTACCACCCTAGTAAAGCCAAAATCTTAGAAGATGCTTTGAGTAGAATGATAAATTTGGAAAAGAGAAGTCCAAACGTGTTAAGAATAGATATTGTCTCA